CGATGCTTCCAGTGCCCAATTGTTTCGTGTTCTGTGGAGTGAGACATTCCCATCTCAGCTACATGTCCTGAACAGTCCCCAGGGGCTGTGCAGAGAAGGGCTCTGCCTCTGCGTGTGAGGGCAGGCAGGCAGGCACACACAGCAGCCTCCAGGCCAGGCGCAGGGCTGGTGCTAAGGATGCATCCCAGCAAAGGAGATTCGGTCCCTGCCCTTGCAAAGCGCCCAGTCTCCTGGGGAGCATAGGCTGGTCCGTGGGGAGCCCCAGTGCAGCGGTAGAGGCTCCATCGGAACTGTAGGGCCACAGGCAGAGTGTCCACAAGGGGAAGAGGCAGGTGCAGATGGGCCTGGCATGAGGGGAAGGAAACGGTTGGTAAGCTGAGCCCCAAAGACAAAGTAGGAGTTTGTCAGACCAACAAAGGGAAGCTACTCCAAGGCAAAGGAGTTCATATTCCAAGGGAGAGAAAGCATGATTTTGAGAAATGGAGGATTTCACTGTGGACCAGAGAGAATGCGGACAATAAAGGGACCTGAACCACATGGGCTCAGGAACCTCTTGAGGGGGTTCGGAGTCCATCAATAGAGAATCTAGAGTGCTCTGTCCAATGCAGAAACCACGAGGCACATGTGGATATGTTCATGCAAATTAATTAAAATTAAGTAAAGTTAAAAATTGAGTCCCCTAGTCACACTGGCCACATTTCAAGTGCTTGGCAGCCACCATTTGGGACAGTGTAGAAAGTCTTTATAGACAGTGTTGATCTAGGGATCCTGCTAGAGGAGGGGCAGGGGAAACAAAGGGCCAGTTAGGATGCTGGTGCCGTAGTCCAGGTAAGAAGAGATGGAGGGCTAAGTTAGAGCAGGGGTGGGGGTGGGGATAGTCAAAGAGATACTCCAGTAGTGGAATGGATGGCTCCTGATGTAATGTGATAGGACATGGAATTGAGAGAGGAGGGGCAGGTCTAGGTGACCCCCAGGATTTGGAGGTGGAGAGCTTGGTGGGCAGGACCAGCACAGAGGAGAAGAGCTTTGTGAGAGATGCTGAGCATGTTTTGGATAGACTGGCATTCAGGTGCCCTTAGGACATCCCAGGGGAAGGGTCAGGTAAGCAGTGGACTCTGTGGAGATGAAGAGGGGGAAGGCCAAGTGTGAGACTTGGAAGGTGGCAGCACATGGTGGTCACTGAAGCCTGGCGGTAGGTGGAACTACCCAGGCATCCCTGTGGCAAGAAAGGCCCAGAAATAAGCCCAGAGGACAAACTGGCCAAGGCACCAGCAATGGGAAGGGGCCTGCAGGGCCTGTGAAGGAGATGCTGCTGAGCTGAGTAGGCAAAAAGAGCGACATAGGGGGGCAAGCCAGAATGTAGCACGTTTCCCACTGCGCAAATGGGTCCAAGGGGCAAAAGCTGCAAAAGGTGTTAGCAAACAGTCTGAGAACTTTCAGTAGCCATGGCTAACAAGGTGGTTATTGAGAAGAGTAGCTGGTTGAGTTAACTTGTGTTACTGCTCTCTAGGTTTCCAGTATCTACACCAGAAGCCCAAAGCAAACAGGACAAAGGTTAACAAAAAAAAACAAAAAACACCGAAGTGTTGTCCAGTAAAGCTCCTTAGCAAAATTGCTTTAATAAATAGAAGTGTGAGTCTTTCTGTTAGGTGGTGATATGTACGTAAATGAGCATTTTGAATGTAGCTGCGGGAATGTGCAAAGTTTTTGTGTTTATGTGTTTTAAGTACAGCTAAGAAAGCACAGCGGCTTAGCGAATTCTGTCTTTGTAAATAACCCAAAACAAACGTGACGACAAACTCTGACCCATGTAGGAGTGGTTTTGAATTAGTGAACGCTTTGTTATGTACTGTGTGCATATACGTGCATACTGTGCGCTAAGTCCATGAATAGGCTGCATTTGCGTATAGACAGATACGAGTGGCAGTGAAGAGATACAGGCACAGATATGAGTCTGGCATCAGCAGCACCCACAGCACTGCAGCGCTGTTCAAGTCACGATTTTATCAGTGACACACATCCTGAGTCCTTTCTCACCGTCACTTTCATCTTACACCTGAATTCCACTTGGGTTGATCATGGCTTTCTATGGCTGACTTAATCTGGGATATTTCCTTACCTCGTTGGAAAAGATTTAAAACATTTAATATTTTCAGTGGCTAATGTTTAGACTGTTTGAGACAGTGCTTACCAACTGGTCGATAGGCAATATTCTAAGATGGAGTTGTAATATATTTGAGAGAAAAGGGGAAAAAATTCAATAAAGGAGTTTGTCATTTTTTTTAAATTCTGGTAAAATACACAAACATACAACTTATCACTTTAACTGTGTAATTCGTTAGTGTGACGTGCATTCACATTGTTATGCAAACAGTCTCTAGAACTTGTCATCTGCAAAACTGAGACTCTCGACCTATTAAGCAGTTGCCTGTTCCCCCTGCCCCAGCGGTAGCACCCATCACCCTGCCTCTAGGAATCTGAGGTTCCTCATATGTGAACTTACATAAGATTTGTTCATTTGAGAGGGGCTTATTTCACTCAGCATATTATCCTCCAGATTCACCCATGTTGTGGCACGTATCACGATTTCCTTCCATTTTAAGGTGAATAATATTCCAGTGTATGTATATACCACATTTTGTGTACCCATTTATCTTTCGATGGACACTTGGGTTGCTTCCACTTCTTGACTATTGTGAATGATGCTGCTGTGAACAAGGGTGTGCTTATATCTCTTCAAGATCCTGCTTTCAGTTATTTGAGTATATTCTTAAAAGTTGAGTTGCTGGGTCATATGATAATTCTCTGTTTAAGATTTTTGAGGAACCACCAAACTTTTTCCCCAGTTTTTTTACATTCCCACCAATAGGACCCAGAGTTTCAGTTTCTCCACATCGTCACCAACACTTATTAGTTGCTGTTTGACAGTGGCCATCCTAGTGGTTGTTAAGGGGGTCTCTCATTCTGCTTTGGTTTGCATTTCCCTCATGATTTGTGAAGTTGTCCATCTTTCATGTGCTTATTGGCCATCTGTGTATGTTGTCTTTGGAGAACTGTCTATTCAAGTTCTTTGCCCATTTTTTTTGCTTTCTGGGGTTTNTCATGTGCTTATTGGCCATCTGTATATGTTGTCTTTGGAGAATTGTCTATTCAAGTTCTTTGCCCATTTTTTTTGCTTTCTGGGTTTTTTTTGTTGTTGAGTTCTTTATATACATATATTTTGGGTAAACCCCTTATTTAATATATAATCTGCAAACANCATGTGCTTATTGGCCATCTGTGTATGTTGTCTTTGGAGAACTGTCTATTCAAGTTCTTTGCCCATTTTTTTTGCTTTCTGGGGTTTTTTTGTTGTTGAGTTCTTTATACATATATTTTGGGTAAACCCCTTATTTAATATATAATCTGCAAACATTTTCTCCCATTTCATGAGTTTTGTTTTGGTGTCAGATCCTCTCTTACAGACTTATAATGGTATCAGTAGTTTATTTATTTTAATTTTGCCAGTTAAGGATTAAACTGTCTGATCCCAATTTATTTAAAGAAAGCATTAAGAAGTATTCTTAATGATAACTACTTCTTTTACGTCATTATTAATGAATGTTTTGTAAGCTGCACACCTGCAGAACAGAGCATGTGCCATCATTCAGCTAGTTTTGCAAATCCGTGAGAGAGTAACTCCCTATGAGAAGGCCGGGGGAAAACTAGGACCTTGCTGGTGCCAGGACATATAAAGGAACTGTGCATTCCTTTCCCACCTGAGTCTTTGGGATTTATGAGGCCAGAGGGTGAGCTTTCTAGAAAAATAACACAAATATCATGTAGAAAGAAGCAGGGGAGGGTCCTAGAAGCCTTGCTCATAGAAAATCACATCCAAATCTAACCTGACACACAGGAATCTCTCCCTAATCTGAAATGTATCTGGGGAAGATTTTGGAAAACTGTCTCATTGTCTAACACCTGTGTCAATAAATCCCCCCCTCATATGCCACCTAAATCCCTCTTCTTACAGTATAAAATAACCATATAATACCCGGGATTTGCCTAGTGCCTTTCTTCCTAAGTCCTGTCCTTAAGTCCTCCTAGTACCTCCATGTGGCGAGGATGCGTAAATATTACTATTTACACCCAGCCACCTCACCTTAATCCCCTTCTCTGTAAAAGGGGCCTAATAGTAATATCTGCTCTTTTTTTCCCCTTTTTATGGACAAGAGAATTAAGACCGGTAGTGAAGAAGTGCATTTTCCCTGGTCCCTGAGGGAGGTGTCAGCAGAGCCGGCCCTGCCCTGGGAGCTCCCAGCTCCTGGCAGGCAAGGCGGCGCCTGGGCCTCACACAGAGGAGGGTCTCACTCTCGGCGCCATGTTCCACTGTCACCATCTTGAGGTCCTTAGTAAGCTTTGAACAAATAGCCTGTCCTGGGCAAAACAGAGCCCATTTAAAGTCATGCTGCTCAGAGGAGACGATGGGCGGGAAGAGCAGATGCGCCTGTGGCAGGAGGAGCCGGGGCGGGCGGCAAGCCTGCGGGCAGGGCGCCGGTCGGAGGGGCCAGGGAGGAGTCCGTCCGCAATGGGAAGGGAGCCTCGCACCTCAGGCTTTATTTGACACAAAAAGAAATAGTGAAGAAACTTCTTAAGGGACAGGGACATCATTAAGCAACAGAAAAGTTATCATCAGCGCCGTTTTGGACTGGGACAGATCATTTTAAATGACTGACATTGAAGAGGCCGGGGAGAGGCCAGTTGATCAATTTTGTTGGTCAAGGCCATGATTAAAGGGACTAGTCGATCATTATTTGCAGGCTCTGTATTTATGAATTTGCTGAGTAGTTAAAATTTATTTGTAACCCCCAAATTAACACAGCACTTTACAGTCATTCACAGGCATGTGCAGAGTAGTCAATTATTTGCATCGCCCAAAGTGCATGTTCCCACACAGGGTGACATTCCTCCTTCCTCTTTCGGCCCTCAAACAGTAAATAAGTGTGCTTTTCATGGTCCATTTAGTGCCATGTTTCTTGCATTTTTGTTAGTGACTTTGCTGTTTAAAACCGTCCCCAGATGCAGTACTCACGCACTATCTTGTGTTCCTATGGGCAAGAGGCTGAGATGTGCTTCATGGAGAGAGAAAGTGTTCAGTGAGCTTCGTTCAGGCATGAGTTACAGAGCTGTTGGGCGTGAGTTCACTGTGGGGGAATCAGCAATGTACAGTGAATAAGGAGTCTTTAAACAGAAACACACACAGAACAAGGTTAAGTAGTGATCCTTTAGTGAAAATGTCCCGATCAGTAGGTCATGGGAACCTCACTCCGTATTTTCCCCTAGAGTGAGGGTTCGGTATTAGCGAATTCACTTCCCAATTACCTTATAGGACACAACTACCATGAACTATGGAGAATCAGCTGTAAACGGGCATAACCTACAGGGACGATAGGATCCAAGGGAAACGGCTCCTGAGGGAACAGCCAGAAACGGGCGGCGTAAGTGATCGCAACCCTCCATTCGAATGAGAGATTCTGCAGCCTTTAAGCTAGACAACCCCCTTATCTAGTTCAGCCTCCCATGCACAGGATTCTTTCTAAAGCGTGTCCTAAAGGCACGGAGAATCTGCGTAATATTTAGAAAGCCAGATCTTGCTGCTACCATTTATCTTGATTTGCAGACTTTCTTCTCACATTTAATATTTCTGAAATCAGGAGACATCTTATACTTGATATTTTAATAAACAAGTGAAACCTTTTCTCCCTCTAATTGTTACTAAATCCCTGGCATGCCAACCAATCCAGGGGCCAGCAGACAGTTTTCCCTAAAAGGCCAGGTAGTTAAGTACTGTAGGTTTTGCGGGACCCTTGATCCTAGTCACAACTACGGATGGGGCTCCTCCATTTAGCGTGAAAGCAGCTGTAGATAATATCCTAATATTCGAGTGAGCATGGCTGTGGCCCAGTAAAACCATTTCATGTAATTTCCACATGCCACAAAATAGTCTTTTGATTTATTTTCCTCCCAACCATTTAAAAGTGTAAAAAACAAGCAAAAATGAAAACACTTACAAAACCAGTTATTAGGCCAGATTTGGCCTGCAGCCATAGATTGCCAATCCAATTCGTTCAGTGGCATCATAGAATCAAGGGAGTAAATTAGATCACCTTGGTCGCAGGTACTTGGATCTGAAGAGGCTGCCCTTGGCCAGTGTGTCTGCCCCTTGGTGCTGAGTGTTCTGTTTGAGACGGAAATAAGGATTTAACTGCTTAATCTTGATTGAACCTGATATTAAAGTTGGTAACTTAGGAGCATGAATTGGTTTAGATTTTTACGTTGCTCGGTGTAGTGTACATTTGTAAGGAGAATCTAGGAAATATTGAAAACAAAATTAGGCGAAGTTCATACTTCTATATACAGTAACACGCCAATGCATTTCAAACACAACCCTTTCATTAGAATTCCTTTGTTCAGCAATGTTCTAATTATGCCTTTATCTTGAAGCTGTGCTTTCTCCTTTCCATTGTGTCATTTTTCTTTGTGTTTTTCACATGTACAATAGGCCTTATTCACGAGAAGGCGGAGCTGCAATCTAGAACGAGGCTTATAACACAAGGAAACTTGAACAGGGTGGAAATTAAATAAATTTAAGTACAAAAAATCAGAAGGGAATTGAACCCATCTTGCTTAGCACAGCATCCAAACAAATTTTGAAGATTAAATATTCATCACTGACCAGAGATCAGTGATTGGTTTCAAATGTATTATCACATTTTAATTTGTTCACCATTTTTATGTCTCAGATAACAATAAGAGGCTGGCGGATGGGAAGCAGGGTGTTTTTAGGGATGCTCTTGGTTTTTCATGAGGTGCTGAGTAGCACCTTCTCTCAGCCCAGAACTAGCCCTGTCTCCCTCACTCCATCAGGCAGACAGGCCTCCGTGGAAACAAGAGCCAGATTCTGGCCTGGAGCCCTGGCTTTGGCCACACTCACTGGGGTTCCCCTTACCTAGAATTTGCAGGCAGAGCTCACATCACAGCAAGCCCAGCCCTGTTCAGGCTCATCTCCTGCCTCAGGGACACACTTGAATCCAGACGGCCTCTGTCCATGCAGACTGGTCTTTGGCAGAAGAGGGGAGCCTTTTAAAATGGGGAGTCAACAAAAAATCCCCCTCCTAGAGGGTGACTTTGTTTCCAGTGATATCCCAGAGCTCCAAAGCATCCCGCTAAGCTCCCCAAATGCTTGTATAGGCCTAGAATTTAGCTGATCACACAAGCATAGCTCGCCTGTTAAGCTTTGGGCTATGAAATGCCTTTTGCTAAGTGTTTAAAAACCAGTCTTAGATATTTTTCTGATGGTATCGTCTTTTATTGAAATATAATTGACATATAAAGCATGTAAATTTAAGGTATACAGCATCTTCCTTTGATACAATTATATATTGCAATATGATTAGCACTGTAACATTTAGTATCTCTATCACGTCACATAATCATTTGTTTTTTGTGGTGGGAACAAGTGAGATCTAGTCTCTTAGCAACTCTTAAGTTGATAATACAGCGTCATCTGTAATATGGCATGCCTTAGATCTCTAGGGCTTATTTATCTATTGGTTTGCAAGGTTATTCCCTCAACATCTCCCTGGTCCCCCCACCCCATAGCCCCTGGTAACCACCATCTACCTGCTCTCTGGTTGTCTTTTTTATGAGTTTGGCTTTTTCAGATTGCACATACAAGTGATAGCATATATTTGTCTTTTCCTGCCTGACTTACGTCATTAGCATAATGGCCTCACAGTCTAGCCATGTTGTTGCAAAAGGGAGTTCCTTCTTTCTCTTGGCTGAATAACATTCCATTGTGCATTATACCACATCTTCTTTATCTGTTATAGTGGCTGAACCAATTTACAGTCCCACCAACCGTGCACAAGGGTTCGATTATCTCCACATCTTTGCCAACACTTGTTCTTTCTTATATTGACGGCAGCCAATCAAACAGGTATGAGGTGATATCACATTGTGGTTTTGATTTGCGTTTTCCTGGTGATTGGTGATGTAGAGCATCTCTTCATGTACCTGTTGGCTGTATATCATCTTTGGGAAAATGTTCCTCTGCCTATTTTTTAATTGGATTGTCTGTTAGTGAGATATTGAGGTCATTATATATTTTGAATACTAACCCCTCCTTCAATATATAGTTTGCAAATATTTTCTCCCATTCTGTACATTGCCCTTTCATTTTTTTGTTTCTTTTGCTGCACAGAAGCCTTCATTTCAATGTAGTCCCTCTAGTTGAATGTTGTTATGCCTTATCTGCCTTTGGTGTCGGGGTAATGCTGGCCTCATATGATGAGTCCGGACGTGTTCCCTCTTCTTCAGTTTTTTGGAAGAGTTTGAAAAGGGCTGATGTCAATTCTTCTTTAAATGTTTGGTAGAATCCCCCAGTGAAGCCATCTGGTCCTGAGGGTGTGTGTGTTGGGAGGTTTTTGAATACTGGTTGAGTCTTCTCACTCATTATTGGTCTGTTCAGATTTTCTGTGTCTTCCTGATTCAGTCTTGGCATGTTGGTACATTTTTAGGAATTTATCCATTTCTTATAGGTTATCCAATTTGTTCACTTCTCACTGTTCAGAGTAGTCTCTTATGATCCTTTTGTATTTCTACAGTATCAGTTGTAATGTCTCCTCTTTCATTTCTGATTTTATTTATGACTTCTCTTTTTTTTCTTAGTCTAGCCAAAGATTTGTCAATTTTATCTTTTCAAAAAACCAGCTCTTAGATAGATACCAAAAAAAAAAAATCAATGAAACTATTTCGTTCCCATTCCGATTTTTGTTATTTCCTTCCTTGAGGTGTAAAGTTAGGTCGTTTGAGACTTTTCTGTTTCTTAATATATGCCCTTATTGCTATATGCATCCCTCTCAGAACTGCTTTTACAGCATCCCATAGGTTTTGGTATGTTTCTAGATGTTTTACTTTCCTTTGGATTTCTTCTTTGACCAATTGGTTGTTCAGAAGTATGTTTAATTTGCACATGTTTGTAGATTTTCCAACTTTCCTCTTGTTGATTTCCAGTTTCATACCATTGTGGTCAGAAGAGATACTGTCTGTGGTTTACATCTTTTTAAATTCACTGAGACGTGTTTTGTGTCCTATTATATGCTGTGGTGTACTTGAGAAGAACGTGTATTCTGCTTCTGTCAGATGAACTGGTCTATTCATATCTGTTAGGTCCATTTGGACTAATATATGGTTCAAGTCCAGTGTTTCCCTGCTGATACTGTCTGGATGGGGGGGTATTAAAGTCCCCTACTCTCTACTGTATTGTCTTTTTCTCCAAGATCTGTTATCTAGGATTGTTGAATTCATCTTCTTGATGAACTGACCCCTTTATATTTTGACCTTCTTTGTCTCTCGTTACCATTTTTGGATTAAAGATTATTTTGTCTATATTTACCTCCACTTCCATGGAATATCTTGTTCCATCTTTTCACTTTGAGCTTATATATGTTCTTAAAGCCCAAGTGAGTCTCTTGTAGGCAACATATTTTGTAATTTTGGTTCTTGCTTTTTTTTAATCTATCTGGCCACTCTCTGCCTTTCAATTGGTGAATTCAATCCATTTACATTTAGAGGAGTTGTTGATATGTAAGGACTTACTGATGCCATCTTCCTGTGTTCTGGTGGTTTCGTATTTGCAGTGCCTCTTTTTCACAGGTTAACTCTAGCTTTGTAAGTTGTTGCTTTTCCATGGTGGTGCACTCTGTCTCAGCTTTCTTTTTATCTTTTGTGCATCTACTCTAGGTTTTGGCTTTGTGGTTACCATGAGCCTTACATACAACATGCCTTGAATAAAACTGTCCATTTTAAGCTGATAGCAACTTAACTCCAATGGTCTATAAAAGCTTCATCCTTTTACATCTTTGATGTCATTTACTTCTTTATATTGTGTATTTAACAAATCACAGTAGATGTGACTATTTTTAACACTCTTTTCCTTTGAAATTTGTACTACAGTTAAGTGGTTAACACATATCCTGTTATAGAAGTTGAGCTTTCTAAATCTGACTGTTTATTCAACTTTATCAGTGTGTTGCATACGTCAGTGTATTTTCATGTCCCTGATTAGCATCTGTTCATTTCAGCTTGAAGCATGCATGACTTTCTTGTAAGGCAGGTCTAGTGGTGATAAACTGCCTCAGCTTTTGTTTGTACAGGAAAGTTTTTTCATATCTGAAGGATACCTTTGCCAGGTAGAGTATTCTTAGCTGGCAATTTTTTTCTTTCAATGCTTGGAATATCTAATTCCACTCTCTCCTGGCCTATAGGGTTTCTGTTGAGAAATCCACTGAGAGCTTAATGGGGGTTCCTTTGTAGATTATAATCTTCCCCCCCCAGACTCCTTTTAGGACTCTTTCATTATAATGTTTTGAACAAGGTCTTTGTGCATTGAGACAATAGGGTGCTCTATGAGCTTTGTGAACTTGGATGTTCAATTCACTCCCCAAGTTGGGGATGTTCTTTAACTTTATACCCCCTTCTCTTCTGGAATCCCCATTATTCTAATCCTTGTTCTTTTGATAAAACCCCGTAGGCCTTGTAGGCTTTCTTCACTCTTTTCTTTGTTCTCCTCGAACTCATTTATCCCGCGTTCTACTTGCTCTAGACCCTGCTTGGTGCTCTTTCCTTAATCATCTTTGAGTTTTCTTGTAGCTTATTGTTTCTTCTAAATGGGGATTTTGAATTCTTTATCAGCAAGATCACAAATTTCTGTGTTTAACTCAGATGTTAGAGAATTATTATCTTTTGATGGTGATGTTTCCTTCTTTGCAGTTTTGCATTGCTGCTTTCTTTGAAGTAGCAGACAGCTCCTTAAGTATTCTGTTCATTGGTGCAGACTTTAGGGGGGTGTTCTGCCTTTGAAGGGGTACTCCTGATACTCTGGTCTTGCTCCCTCTTGTGGCAGAATTCTTAAGGTTTTATGTTTCTGGTTTTTACTACTTACCAGACTGCTGGAAAGAAACCTCTTTTGTTTCCCAGAAGGTGGCGCTATCACTCAAGTTTGTGGTTTCTCTCTTGCCCATAAGACCCTGGCCAGTTCCTGAGGACACTCCCTACTGGATCTTGTTCTTGCCTCCACAGGTCAACTGGCCACAGAGTGGAGGGAGGTGTGGACCTAGAGCATTGGGTATGCCTGCAGACGCAGGGTAGACTTCCTGCTGAGCACAGTCAGTCAGCAGGAGCCTTGTCCCAGTAATGCCTTTTAATACTCCGATCTGCCTCTTTCCCAGTCTCCTTCCTCCTCCTAGTCATGGAGTTCCTGCCTCAGTACTCTGAGTGCCACTGGAGAGAAAGGGGCTTGTCCAGCTCTTCACTGGATAGCTGTGGGAAGTGTTGCCACCAATAGTTCAGCCAGTGCATTGTTGCCAGGGGTTGGGGGGTTTGCTGGTAAAGTTCTTACCACGTCTGCTGCATCCAAACTCATTTTGATTTTATGGGATTCCGCCCCCCCCCCGATGGCATGCTGTAATTTCCCCTTGGGAAGGCTATGTTTCTGCAATTTCTCTTTTACCTATGAGCATGGACCCTGGGGAGAGAGGCTGGGACAGGTTCACTGTTCTGCTGGGTCCACAGCTCATTCTGTTTGCTTATTACTGGGCAGAGGTGGCAGGACTCTTCCCAGGTCCTTGGTATAGTGCTAGATCCCATAGCTCTTTGAATTGTGGGGGACAAACCATCTTACACCGCCATCAGTCCTGATCTTTTTCTCTTGGTCACAACTAGGAGGCCTTCAGCGTTAAGCACAGCCTCTAGGAGTGCTTTCCAGGAGCACTGAGCAGGGTGAGCTGGATTTGCAAAGGGATCCACAAATAAATGGTGGCGTCACCTTGTTGTGAAAGGTTATATTTATTTCTGGGTATAGAAACAAATGCTACTAAATTTGGGGGTCTTTTGCACCATGTTACTATCAAATCTTACTGAGACAGCACCAGCCGCAGAGAAGCAGGGGTGCCCACCTGTACATGTATCTTCCACTCAGGTCTGCACTAGGTGGAGGTAGGGGACTTGGAATGAAGTCCTGACTCCTCTATATAATCATTGCATGACACTTTCCAGTGTTCACAAGGCTATTGTGGGAACACCTAAAATACAGAACTACTGACCATTTCTATTACTGTGACAGTATTTGGAGTCGAAGCTCTGCATCTTTGCCCCTAACCCCATCAATATAGCTGGCTAAATCTGATCTTTGAAAACAAAGCTTCAGACCTCCCCCCAAGGCTTATTTCAGGAAAAAGCTTGGTCCTAATTAGGTGAAAGTTCTGGAGTCAGCAGATGACTTAGAGAAATGAGCACGCTATTGAAAACAGGTGGGACCCTACTTTAGGGAGGCCGTTATCACCCAGGTGCTCCATCCCCACTGGGTGGTTGTGTAACCTTAGAACAGCAGCACCAGACCCGCACAGCACCTGAGCGGCCCCTACTCTGGGCAGGAGTGGGGCATGGGGAGTGGCCATGCACAGGCGGTGACTCAGGGCAGAGCCTAGGAGAAAGGCACCTGATAGAGCCCACAAAGAGCCTTCAGTCTCTCTGCGACCTTGTCGGGCTCCTCTGCCACCCTGACAGCTGTGGCCCATCGGACTGGAGAAATCATGCTGAGCATCGAGCTAAACTTCCGTGATCCCAACAGATGCATTTTGTACAGAATGAAAAGTCATTGCACAGGACTTTCTCTGATTCCTAATAATGTAGGACTCTTATTACTGATGATAATTAGGGTTCTTGCCTCTCCATCTAGCCTGGTATTACCAGGAAAGGCCAGTGGGAATCAATATTGAGACGCAGGCCTGGCTGTTTGTCTCACTGCAATTAAGGCGCTCGTGCTGATTGGCCAGCAGGGTAGAGCTTTTGTCTTTGTAGCCGTGACCTCCCTCCCACCCCAGTCCCTCTGACTGCAGGGATGGCGCTCATGGCACCCGTGGCATGGCATGCATACGACCTCATATTAAAGCCCAACATAAACAAGTCGAAGGACATTGTACTGACAGGAAAAGATGAAAGGATTTAGCTTCACAGATTGAGTTCTACAGTATTTACTCAGCGCCACTAAAATGAAGATGCCCACTTACGTTACCCAGGTTTTGTTTTGGTTCATTGATTAGGACTAGCAATATGCTGCTCTGAAAAAATACTGTTGAAATAAGTTATCCCCAGGCACTTACAAGTCTGGAAGCAATCGGAGAATGGCAGGAACAAGGGCCTCACCAGGGCTGCTCAGAGCTAACAGGGGTACCTCTCCTGGATGCTGTGTGGCTGACTGTCTTCAGGGAGCTTGCAGGCCACCTAAGGAGCTGCCATTATGAAAAGTTACACCAGTAAGAGATGGGAACCACAGGATAGGAGAGGAGTGGTGGCACCTGAGTTCAGAGAGCAAGGATCCTCGGGCTAAGGTTCCAGGTCTCCTGGGGGGTAGGAGGGGGTGGGGGGATCCGTGAAAGGAAGGGCCTGGGAAACATGCAGGAAAAGCCAGTACTCACATCATTCGAAGAGAATGAGTGACACTTTGGAAAACCCAGTCCATACCAAGTGAGTGTCCAAGAAAACTTCTGGACTATCCCTGGAGGGCTGTCCATGCAGTCGACCTAGAGTGATTTAATTTTAAAGGTGGGCTGTGAGAAGGTCTGGCTTTCTCCCCACCACACACACACCAGAGCCATGGGAGGCCTGATAGACCCAGCTCTGCCCTAGTGGTTTCTGACTTGGCAGGGGGAATGGTGGTTGGGGTGTAAGAAGAAACCACCTGTGCTCATCTAGTGATGCACAGCCACCTCCAGGGTGAGAGTACAGGATGCCAACCTGCCTGAGAGGGGCTTGGGGACAGTGTCCGGTGAGGACATGTGTAGTGTACCTATTCACACCCTGTTTTCCTGGCTCTTCCAGGCAGGGGCCACACCTACTGTGTTCCTCTGCACGTGCTGTNTAGGCAGGGGCCGCACCTACTGTGTTCCTCTGCACGTGCTGTTCATTGCACCAGGCTGACACCTAGGAGTCAGCTGTGCATGTGTGTGGTGTGGTTAGGCATGACACTGTGACACAGCAGTTTGACGCACAAATCGGTGTCCATTCCAGCTGGTCAACGTCCTCTCCCAGCTCTCAGGGCCTAGACACCCCCTCCTCGCACTCCAACCACCTGCAGCCTCACCTTCCTGTGTCTTGGGCTTTCCAGTAGGGCTGGGGTCCGCGTACTGCAGCACCGCTACCCCCCCCCCCC